GTTTTGTAACATGTTTAGAAATTTGACTCATTCAGTACAATATTTATAGCTTTTATGTAAGATTGAATTATCTTATTTTCCTTTCAAAGGTTGAGAGAGTGAATAAGATTAGATAGTCATGTATTGAAGCCTAGATTCACTATTGCTTATATACTGAAAACCTCAAAAGCTAAACTGTGCCTTTTGCAGAAAAAAATTCAATTCAAATTCAAGAAATGACTACCTTCACCAGCCGGCTTAGCCGGCTACGCAAGCTAGGATATTATATTGAGCTCAAAACTTATTTCCACTTATTAAATGTTAAAAATTCCTTTGCGTTACTTTTCACCTCATTTACTAATTTCAATAAAAGCACGCGTGAGACAATGTAGATGCCTAAAAGCTATAAAACCCTAATTCTTTTATGACTTCAATTAAACCAACCTTCATTCTCAAGGTGATATTGACGCTATACGGTCTTATACTGGTTTTCATCGCAAACAGCGTATTCTTTTCAACTGTTTCATTGCTGTAATAATTCGGATTTTGGATACGTTTTATGATAATTTTTTAATTCACAAATAATTTTCTGTTAACCTAGTTTGCATGGTCATCTTGAAATTTGATGAAATCTACTAGGAAGTTTTTCCTCTTCCTTTTCACTTGGGCTGAAATACCTATGACTTGCAAAATTTGTTACCCTTTGTTCTCTTATGCGGTTTGAACACAAGTTTACAGAGATACTCCCCTGAATTTTTTTTTGCTCAAAGAAAACAAAAAAGGATACGGTTTTTGAACTAGAGAATGTAAACGTGATAGAACCTAAATCTATGCATATGTGATATCTAAATCTATACATAAAATATCTATGGTAAAAACCTCATAAGGGTTTAATTAGTTTTAGATTGTGAAGTGCTTTTAGCAGGGCAGTCATTATGTGCATGATTGACCAATCACTGACCAGTTTTACACATTCTTGCGTTTACAAACTGATCTTCATTTAAAACAGTTTCATCACCATTCTGAAAAGGGAGAGTTTAGATCTGAACGCATCATCTTTATCTTTGAAGCTAGAGGCCCTTTTTTTACAAATCTCCTGAAAATTACCAACTTTTTTTGATGTGCTAAAAGTACTTCACAATCTAAAACTACCTCAGAGGCCTCATGAAGCTTTTGTCGTAGATATCTTATGTATAGATTTATCTTTGAATGACGTTAGCTTTCAAGTATCGCCCTGAAAACAACTCAGCTATTTTACTGACGTTCAGCTTCGAATTGTTTGATATTAGATTTCATGCTGCAAAGATAAAATTGTAGCAGACGCAACTTTGGATGCATCAATCTGATACTTTGATAGATCAATAATCCGTCACTAGTACTAGTCAGATTTTGCGAGACATAATTATGAAAATTACGAACTTGGCACAAATTTGCCGCGATATAAGGTAAAGAGCAGTATATCGTCCCTCGTTATATTTCAGTTGTACTTCGTAGCGATTGAATTTTCTATCATCTTCATCCAAGCTATAAGACGGTTGTGAATACTGTTGTACCTATCGTCCTTTGTCAAAACCTAGAACATACTTATCATCTGTTACAATCAGATCTCCAGTTTGTAAGTCGCTCTTTTTTCTAATGAACATATCCATCAAAGCAGCTTCGTTTTTCTGAAAGGAATGCTTTGTCGCAGTAGAGAATTATTCTGTAACTATGGTATCCTGAGTTTTCAACTTTATAATGCACTTTAAATTTATATTTTGCTCTTCTTCAAAAACCGTCATTTTAGCATCGCTATTCAGTTAAGCTAACACCCAGCCTTCTCAACCTTTCACCTAATGTTCGTATAAGGTGCTCATTATCCTGCATACCAGCTTGCATGGTTTCCTCCATTTTGGATGTATCATACAAACTGATTCCTTCATTATGAAAACGGCTTTAATTGCGAGGAGCAATTCAATCTACCTCAAGGTTTATTTTGCCGTTAGCATCTGCCAAATCGGGTCTTTCTTCTTCAAGTATACGGACACTATACCATGGCGGTTGGCGTCGAGGTTTTGTGACTGCTCCAGGCATTACCTGAAATGTGAACAACTAATCTTTAATATTTATGATGATTTCAAACAGTGGGATCAGACAGCCACAAAAAGGACCGTAACATATCATTTTTTTCCGGAATGGCTTCGTTAAAGAGTATCAACTCTGCGCTTTTGCAGCTCAATTAGAAGATTAAGAAAATATTAAATCTAATACAGCCATTTGAAAACGTAAAATTGCATGATCGACTGCACCGATTAATCAACTCATAAACAACTTTAACTTCTATGCGTACGTGACAACGATAATCTGGATACTACCCGTTTACTCATTTCACCATTCTAATAGCGAAAGGGTTGAATTTTTAAAGGAACTTCCGAAGCACTTCTCACTCGCGTGGGGTCCATAATGGAGCAACCGAACGACTGGTATAATCGGCTTCTAAGCGTACTCTAGGCTGAGTTAGAGGAGGCACCGTGGCGGCGCGGGTGCGTAACATCTGATCAAACTGAGCATGATGATCAGCTGATCGCCACCATAGATCAGGACCACTTGATTGCCACGTATCACGCCACACAATGTCGCGCAGCCGTGTCGTTGCACCGGCTCCGCATACTACGCCTAGAGTACGCCTAGGAGGCGACACAGGGACAATAATCAGTAAGTATAATTACTAACCCACCGCTCGCATGAAGAAACTGCTCGGACTCATAATGAACCATCTCCTATTAGCATACTGTATTAGCAGAGCATTCTTGCTAGAGTGCGATTAATCAAAGGTATATGACTCGCGTGTGGTATTTTCAGAGATACAGTCAAAGGAGGGAAGCTCATTTAGTTTTCTCAGCGACTCCGTGCTAGTCGCCGATCTACCACTAACGTGCTAACGCACCCCATCCGCTTGCAACGTCTTTTATACAGTCTGCCAACTTGAATACCAGTGATCACTCAATATGAATTATTTCTGCTCTCGAGGTAATAATTATCCAATGTACTCGTGTGTCAGCGAACGCAAAGGCATTATCATTGCAATGTTTACTATATTAACAGCATAGTAACTTAGATACTTATACAGCATGTCTTCACTCTCGTGCAGGCCTTAGCATTGTTG